TTTTTTGTTTTTTTTTTTTTTTCTTTTTTCTTTTTGGGCTAAAACCAGCAATTTTTAAAAAGAGGCGAATATAACGTTTGATTGGGATTTAAAACCCTTACGTTTGCAAATAAAAGAAAAAAATATATGGATATAAAAGAAAACGAGTACCGTTCGTTTTCAAACGAACCCAAGTAACATCAATAAAATGCATTTCAATGCTCCCTGGCAAAGGTAATGCTCTGTAATGCATAATCGCGGAGTTATACAGAAAAAAAAAATAATAATAAATAAATAAAATCTAAAATCGTACTCGTTGATTCATGGTTATGGCTTATTTGCCCAGAGCTGAGATTCATAANTTTTTTTTTTTTTTTTTTTTTTTTTTTTTTTTTTTTTTTTTTTTTAACAACAAGCACCCTATACCCCGCAACAGCTGAATAAATTTCTCCCGCCTAATGAGCCGTATTATCGGGCCATTCGGTTATATCTAATTAATATACAACGTACAATATCACCGATATCCCGCAGCCCGCGTGTACATAGAATATATACCGCACATACAAGTACAAACGGTACTTTCCAAGCGACTCGTATAATACAAACATATACGTGTGCATATACAGCCGTCCGAGAACGAGCCGGTTAACGAGTGTGTTTTTAACGCGCGCGCGTTTAATCGATACCACATATACCCATAATACCCATTACGGCTTATTGGGTGGATTATAACGTGTCTAAACGCAAAGCGCAAACGTTTCAATCGGCGCGAGTGTTGGGTATCGTTTGATGCGCGTTTACTTATCGGGTGGACGCCGTGTGAACACAAAAAGACTATACTATGGCTGTAAGGTACACGAAACGCGAAATTTTGTGTCCCCCAAGTATGCATGATCATGCCTTGTGAATATATATATGTATGTAGTTGGTAGCATCTAAACTGCATTATACGTATATAGTCGTACGCCCATGAAGCTCGCCTCTATGACGCGCGTGGGCCGCGAGAGCATCGGTGAGCGGGGGAGGTGGGAAGACAACGGATATGCCGACCAACGAGTCGTCGCGGGGGAGAGGAGCGCCGGAGAAGCGACGCAAGAACGTCATAAATAATAATCGCGCGCCGAGAGATGCCCAAGCCAGTCTCCCTTTTTTTTTCTTCTTTTTTTTTTTTGCGCCACCAACGGCTACCGATTTGCGCTCCAGATGATGGTACGAGAGAGCTGGAGATTCTATATTTTTTTTTTTTTGCAGACTTGCGTCACCTAGGCGAGCGCGTATTGTGCGTCAAATGCTCCTTGAATCGGTTCGGGAAACCAACGCGCAAACGCATACACGCGCAAGCATATATAGCGTAGCGGCTGAAAAAGGCCGAGGTGACAAATAAAAGACTCATCATCGTCGTCATCATCGCCAAGAATGGCACGAATGCGCGACGATGATGAGTCGCCGTAGGAATATAATATGGGGTGCAGCTGCATATTGTGGCCGCGTGACAGTGATGATGGCAAAGAGGATTTTTAAGAGAACAATCGATACGAGCGGGGGGGGGGATCTCAATTGGAGAAGGTCGGAGGGAAGGAGAACAAGGGGGGCAACTCCACCTCGGCCCGGTTGTAAGCGCGAGGTCCCGTATCGCTGCCGCGCGGTGTAATGAGCTCCGAGACGCAAGGGAGAGGAGATATAGGCTGCCGATCGCTCGTTAGCGCGAGGAGGATACGTGTCCCGTCTTTTGGTATATATATATATACGTACGCTGCACAGGCAGGAGAAATCGGACGGCTATTATACTTACACACATCGGCATATAGCGACGTCCAAAGGCTTTCTATGCGATGTGCATTGACAGCGAAAAGTGAAGAAAAAAAGTTTGTCCCTTGATGCATATCTTAGCCTGTATAATACGCGTGTGTTTTGCTATATGTATAGCAAAATTTTCTATGTGTATATCGAAAAGAGGGGACGATTTAGAGGAAGGCATTCGTACGAGCTTGGAAGTAATGTATATTATGTGTATACCAAACAAGCAGCGAGGGCACAGATTAAAAACAAAAAAAAAAGACTCGCGCACTTTCCTCGTGACGACGACGGCATGTATAATACGAACCTTCGAACTTTCACACCTTTTAAGTAATCGCGGCGATCATCGGGAGGCCCACCACTGCGTTAATTTATCCTCGCGCCAACTCAAAACTGTATCGCATCTCCCACGTCCCCTCATGCAGTTTTGCTCCTCGTCTTCTTGGCTACTCTATCAATTATTATCATGATGATTTTTCGTTTTTCATCATCTGGCGCGCTTGAACATCACAGACTCGAGATTAGCCGAAAAGACGGTTTATTTTTCCAAGCAATCGAATAAACGAGATCCGATGCAAGTATATACTTATACTTATAAGAAAAACAAGGCGCAGCTCGAGGTCCGATGTACACCTATCTCGTGAAATAGCGCACGGGGAAAGAGCGTGCGCGCATGCAAAGGCGAGAAAAAAATATTACGATTGGATATATAGCCAGCGCGATGAGGCGGAGAGAAACTCGGACGCGTATATATGTGTATATATGTTAGAGCTCGTGCCAGCTGTGGAGATGCATGCGAAGTGTGTGTATGTGGTGTACCTCCGCTGCACAGACAGTAGTCAGGCAGGCAGGAGTGGTCGCGGGTATAAGTACCGTTGCTCTGCTCCAGTTAGGTGAGAGGAGGCATCCTCGGCTCCTCTTATATACACGTACCCTCTCGGGCGAGGGTCTCCGTGCCCACTCGTATATACCCAACCATCCGGTCCATGGAGCGCGATCTCCCTCGCGCTGCTCTATTGGCTCTCTCTCGCGCTCGCGGATGAAAGAGAAATTTATATACCCACTCGCCTCGCCCTGCCCTACCTTCTCTCTCTCTCGATCCTCTTTCCGCGCGCTGTAATATAAGTACTCGGCCGATCTCCGGTGCTCGTGGTACACGTGTGTATATTATATACCAGCAAGTTGTACGCGCGAGCGAAAATCTTCGTCCCGCTTCGAGTGTATACCTGCATGGTTGTTTGCGTCGCGGATATAATATCGGCTCTCCGTGACGGCCGCGTGTTGAAAAGTGCACCACGAGCGGGATAAAAACCACCCAGTGGGTCAAGGAGATTTTTCGGATGCCTCCTTCTCGGTGTGAAACTTTTGCCATTGCTCTTCCTATATATTATATACACACACTCATCGCCCCACACCCAACTTTATATTATAGTAGCGAGGAGGATTGATCGGTATACTTTTCTGTTTGTGGTGTACAACAAAATACAAATATACTTACATAGAATCATTCGACGCAATTTTTACAACAGTATAATACATGACTCACGCGTGTGTGTTTGGTCGGAGAGGCCAAGACGGGCCGAGTATACAATATGTAGGAACAAGAAGATTTTCTGCGAATGATTGATCGCCCGATACCTATTTTTGATTCTCCTTCTTTTTTTTTATTTTATTTTTTTTATTTTCTTGATCGATCGATCCTCACGGAGATTAAACGATGCGGTGCTATACATGGCCGTGTGTGTAGGAACCCGGCTATTACAGCAGCACCTTCACCGCTTGTTCCTCGTGTGTTTCAATAAGTACCTATACTTTTTATGTACTCGCGTCCCAGTAGTACATAGGTATACCTATATGTACATCGTACCCGTCTACACGCGTATATATATATACACGTGTTACTCTGTTCACGGTAGCCTCGCGCGGGCGAGGATCCTTTGACAATTGTGTATGATTTTTAATAATCATCGCGCCGGGGGGAAAAAATCCACACGAGAAAATTGAATAATAATCGATGTTTGTGACATGTATGTATGCGTATGGGGTATATACCTATATACTGCATTCATTACACGCGTTGGCAAAATCATACCGTGGAGGCATGTGGCGATTGAAACCCAATTAGCATCGTAAATTTGCGTAATGTAAAATCGCAACGTAAGATCGGCACGAGTGAGGGGAAGTAGGGGGAGGGAGGGTTAGATTTTGAAGTGGATTGAACAAAGATTAATCGCGCCGACGTGACAAGGCGGTTCGGGGATACTCGTCGGACGAACGAGCTAAATGACTCGGAGCGCACGCAGAGACATTGTTACGCTTACGCAGACGGTTCGGGTGCGCAACAACGCTCGTCCGCTTATTACACCCACTATACCTTTTATTTTATTTCGCAACACGAGCCGATCGCTCTCGACTCTGGGATCTTTGATGTGTTTGCTTGGGCTTACTGGTAAATTGCGCACTTACACCTTGTGGTGTACTTTTATTTTACGGTTATGAAAAAAAGAGTATAGCGTTTATTGTTGATACGTCTGCTCAAAGTACAATGAATGTCGGCTCGACACGGGTTAAAAAAGGATCCGGTGTATGAAAATGGGTGATACAAATGGACAGAAAAATACCTACAGGGCTTAACAAGCGTACCGAACATTTATTTATTCTAAATTCAAATATTATGAACATTGTTTTCGTGCGCGATTCGAGTGTTGTAAAATAAAAAGTAAAATTACAATGTATACAAATGGAAAAACGAAAAAATGCTAATAATTCACGTGAAATTAGCGTGAAAAATAATTAAACAGCACAACTTCGCATATTGTCACAACTAATATACACTTACTGAGTTTTAGTGAGTAAAAGAATGATGAATGCATCTAGTGAATGAAAATAGGAAAAATAAAGCTTCTTCTTAAAATAAAACAAAAACGGCTCTTTTTTTGCCAAAAAATGTAATTATGTATAGTATATATCTGCCTACGCATTAACATTTTTAAACACATTTATGAAATATGACTAATGAACTGTATTTATAAAAAGTTGAAGAGCGCGATGTTTGAGAAACGATTGAACCAAAGGACTCGTGGGTCATATGTTTTGTTTCAGATCCGCGTCGCCACAGCTGGGCCACGAGCTGCGAGGCTGACCGAGGCCGAAGCTCGCGCCCCGGCGGCCCTGTGATGAACGACTACCTCCACCAGCGTAGCCCGTCCCCAGCGAGGAGCAGCCCAGGAGGAGCGGCAGGGGCGGTAGCTGCAGCCTCACCAGTCGAGCCCAGCAACTACGGCCCAGCAATGCGGGAAAAGGACTCGAGCCCGCGCAAGATGCCCGGCCACATAAGCCCCAAGCAGGCGAGCATCTACCCGCTGAGCGGACGCGCCGAGCCCGAGCCCGAGCTACCCTACGACCTCAGCCACGGGCACCAAGCCGTCGCCGCCACCAGTTCCTGCAGCTCCAGCCGCGAGTCCGCCCAACGCCAATCGTCCCGCGACCACCACCACCACCACCACCACAACCACCACGGCCAACACTTCCAGCAGCAACAGCAACGCAGCCGCCTCGAACTCGAGAGTCTCGCCGAACCCCTCGACCTACGCCTCGAGCACAAAAAGGAAAACCTACGCGACGAGAACGCCAACGAGATCGAGACCCTCAACCAGAACAGCCCCGAGCGACTGCCTTACCACCACACGGTCCTCTTCCCGCAACACCACGCCGTCCACCCGCTCGTCCTCGAAGCCATGTACCGCTCCAGCCAGCAACAATCCACCCAACCACCACCACCACCACCACCGCCAACCCCGACGCCCGACCTACCCAAGATCCAAGTGCGCGCCCTCCCTACCATGGTGCCGCTGGCGAGCAGTCGATTCTCAACCGCGTCCCCCGTGGCCGCCCAACCCCAGCCGGCCCCCTCGAGGTCCACCAGCCCCACCAGCCAGGACGCCCAACACCGGCAATCCCCAACCCCGTCCAACCAGCAACAACCACCACCACCGACGAGCCGCCGGCAGCCGGCCGGCAACTACAACAGCTCGCCGGGCGCGGTGGCCGGGGCCAGCTTGAAGCCAAAGGACCGCTACTCGTGCAAATTTTGCGGCAAGGTGTTCCCCCGCTCGGCCAACCTCACCCGCCACTTGCGCACCCACACCGGCGAGCAGCCCTACAAGTGCAAGTACTGCGAGCGCAGCTTCAGCATATCGAGCAACCTGCAGCGCCACGTGCGCAACATCCACAACAAGGAAAAGCCGTTCAAGTGCCCGCTCTGCGAGAGGTGCTTCGGCCAACAGACAAATCTGGACCGGCACCTCAAGAAGCACGACGCCGACGGACCCACGATCCTCGACGAGGTGCGCTCGAGGTACAACCACCACCAAGCGGCGGCAGCGGCTGCGGCTGCGGTGGTGGCTAGTGGTGGTGGGTCCGGTCAGATGGCCCGCGCAGCGGAGGACTCGTACTTCGAGGAGATCCGTAGCTTCATGGGTAAGATAACCTCGCGGGGCCAGGGCTTGCCCCCGTACTTCCCGAGCCTGCTCCAGGCGGCGGAGGAGAGACCACCGGCGGCCTGGTCGGACAAGCACACGGCCCGGCTGCGCCCGTGCGAGGAGAAGCGCCACCAGGGGGACTCGTCGTACTTCAGCGACCGGGACAACCTGTCCTCGAGGTCGAGCAGCGGTGGCAGCAGCACCGGGAGCAGCGGCGGCAACCACAGTCGGCCCGAGAGCCTCCACGAGGAGCAGGTGGAGCCCCCGACCTCGGCCCCTGCCTCCCCCGCCAACAACACCTGAGTATATCATAGACACCGGGGGGGTTGAGCCCGAAAACGAGACCCATGTATATTATATACATATGTGGCAAACGAGCAGCGAGAGATCGGGATCTTACTTTCTATATACGGGTATAGCGCTGGCTCGCCCGTTGCCGATCACACGTATACACACGAGTGGAAAGTCCAGTTATGTTGTGTGCAACCGGGGCCAGCTCGCGAGGTGAAAATGAAGCGGCTCTTTCTCTCCGCATCACCGGGTGTAGGATGTATGTATGTATATATATATATACGTACATACACACGACTATGGACGGCTGCGACGACCTCGCGGCTCGTTGCTCTGTGCGCGCGGGCGCGCTGCGTTACACTTTTGCGCCACGCCCCGGGCTCGATCAGGCGCATCGCGAAAGTGAAACGCGATATATAAAGAAGCCGCTCCGTTTGGCTCTCTCGCGCGCTCACGCACACCGTGGCGATCGATCCTCTCGATTACCCGCCTTCAATTATCCTCCTTTCTCTCTCTCTCCCCCTCTTTATTTCTACTTTTATTTCCCTCCTTTCCACGAACTCGTGCGTATTATGCATGCCCTCCGCCAGCAGCTTTCTCGCTTTGCGAATCTTTCTTTTCCCTTTTCCACCTCGTCTCCTCGTACTTGTACATGTATATACTTTAGGCGTTGGCTTAACTGGTGATTGACAAAAATCAAGGGGACGAGGAACGCAAGGTCCGGGGTACAAAGTATCTGTACTTGGGATCTCTCGTGCGAGAGAATTTAGAAGACCTGTATATACATGCACGCCAAACGGGTGTACCATGGTGTGGAGAGGCGAGGCTGATGGTTGCATATATATATAGTACCACAAGCGCGCCCATGGCCGTATAGCAAAGTGGAACGCTGCGGCTGCCGTTACAGCGGGACACGGGTAGCGCCGAGGAAGAAGATCCGTTGCCGATTGCGCCTGGCTCGCGTGCCCGAAATCACTAATTTTTTTTTTTTTTTTTTTTCTCCCGCGCGTCCACACCCTCCTGCAGCGCTGGTGGCGCTCTTTCATCTCCTCCTCGCTGTGCCCTATAGGCACGCAATCTTTTTTTTTTTCCTCCCCTCCTTCCTTTGTTCATCAGCCGTTATTTTTGTTGCCACTGCTGCTCCTACTGTATACCCACTACTACTGTTTGTTCCTCGATTACGTTGCGAGGCGTAAAAGTGCATTTAAACGAATATACATATACATAGGGACTGCTAATCGGAAATTTGTACATTTTTCGTTTTTTTTTTTTTTTTTTTTTTTTTTTTGTTTGTTTTTCATGTAAATAAACGTACAAGAGAGCAATAAAGACATATTATACATATACATTGTACATAGTACACGCACCCGCCTGCTCGACGTTGTAGTGCTGCGAAATTTCGTTTTAGAAATTACAATATGTGACTTATGCGGTTGAAAGTTGTGATAGTGGCTCGTGATTAGTTTATCGGTCCCTGATGGTATGCATATAATATTGTGTTTTGTAAACGCGTAGCTCGGCGTTATAATTGTCTTTCCGTTCGATCGGACGTTTCTCTCGAGAAAAAGAAGAAGAAGAAACAATATTATACATGGAAATGTGTATTGTGACCCGGCAAATTAAAGTGTTGTTGAAAATTGACAGAAAAAGAGATTGTTTGGTTTTAAAAATTTCAAAATGCTCGTTGGAAACTTGGTGTGTAACAGCCACTTTGCGACTCTCGACGTATATTTGCCGAGTCGCACGAGATCTCAAAAGTCTTGCGGACTTGTATAGTTGGAAAAAAAAAAAAAAAAAAAACATTACAGTGTACTGTGCCTCGAGAAAAAAAGGGTGCCGATGGCAGTATAAATCTCCGAGCCTCGGCTGCTGCTGCTTGGTCGGCGGCCCCTTTGCTGTTTGGTCTGAAAATACCTTATTGTTTCGAGCACGATGAANAAAAAAAAAAAAAAAAAGACTATTTCACTGTAAATTTAAACGCTGTATTATAATATAAAGAACTAAAAAAAAATGCAAACACTTTATTTCAACGTAAACCGCTTTGGTTGATGTAAGAGTGATGTTCACGCGACACTGTCCTCGAATATACGAGGTGCGCGACGTTTATGTAAAAATGTTGCCTGTACAGCTATGACGCAGTTTTTGTAAATATTCGGAAATTCATGCACTGTACTATGTATGCGAGCTTAGACAAAGTGAAAAAAAAAAAAAAAAATAGCATAAGGCAAAAATGTGCGTTTTTTATTGTATTATGTATGAAAAAAAAGAGAGGGCTTCGGTTCGAGGCGAGCCAAAGACTCGAGAGTCTAATACAATGCTACGTCAATTGTCCTAAATGCAAGTGCAATCGAATTTAAAATTGAAAATTGAATGTAAAAAAAAGAAAAAAGACTGTACTGTACTTAAAACTTGCTTTTAGCGGTAAATCACAATACATTGCAATCACATGTACATACATTTAACTACGCGGTGGGCGAAAAAAAGAAAAAAAAAAAAAAAAAAAAAATACCTTTCGACTCTCGTCATCTCTCACAAAGACGAAAATATACGTTCCTTACTTTACGTAGAACACTATGCGTCAACCCCGCACTATTAGACTTGGCTTTTGTTCACGATGCTCTCAACGATTACCCATTCATCATAATATACCAACTAATGAATACCTTACCAACTATATATTATTACTTTTTATTAACGAGGCTCCGTAGTTTCGAGCCGAAAAATCCTACCGATGATTTTACTTGCGTTACGTTTTGCTTGGCTGAAAGTATAAAATATATAGTATCGAGCCTCAAAGGTCTCCCCATCATCCCTTCCCATATTATCAAGCGTTAAATCTAGTGTGAATGTGATTTCATTGAGGTTACCGATTTACATACATGTACACGCATCCATATATATATACAAATATAAATACATATATATATATTTACAATGTATCCATATATACGTACCTAACGTGTTACTCGAACGGCATCGTGATCGCAAGCGATACATATACATACATGTATACATATGAAGCCAAGTGCTCGTTACCTTTAGTTTTTAACACAATTTCCTTCAATCCACCCGCTCTCCATTATCTTCCATTGCGCGCTTATCTTATTACCACTTTTACCATATACTACTTGTACAGAGAGTGTCATATATACGTATGCGCGCGCGTGTGTGTGTGTATAGATATTACGAACGTTGCCTTTTTTGCGAACGCGACCTTCGTGCCGCGTCCCTATATGTTATACTTACAAGTGTGTTCGACGGGACTCGCGACGAAGTAACTAAACTTTTTTTTCTGATTTTTGTATAAATAGCAAGCGACAATAATTCATTGTGTTGTCGCATGCGCGTCGAGCTTCCAATGTATTATAATATTTTTTATTTTCATTATCATTATAGTTGTAACAATAATAATAAATATTATTATTCAGCGATTGGTCCTCCCCCCGTCGTCGTAAAACGATGTTGTTTTTGTCTTTAAATTTTATTAGGCTAATAAGATTATAAGTAATGTAGCTGCGCGTTGTTTAGTAAATATACGTACAGTGGTGACTGTATATATGTCAATATGTAATATTCGATGAAAAAAAAAAAAAAAAAAAAAAATACACTGGAATCGATACTTTTGAATATCATCAGTTTTTTTACTTATTTTACCCACCGACACTAGGGAATATGATTTTTTTTTTTCATTTACCCTTTGAAATATTTTGCAATATGATTTTTACATCATTATCTATATGCATGCGAGATTATTGAACTATTTTTTAATTGAATCAACATGAAAAAAAAAAAATCGAACTAACCACGTGGTTGCCATTTTCAAAGTGCACACGCGATGCGAGACCATCTGCTCTAGTTTTTAGAACGACTTCAAAGACGGGCAATGAAGGATAATTTTGAAAAAACCGTCTGGCTCACGTAGTTTTGGGACAAAATTTCCTACATTAATGTGTTCACAGTGTCACGGACAAGTGCCTGAGAACCGGAACGCCCGCGTCCGCGTATTACCTACGAGCATCGGGAGCAGGAGGAGGCGGATGAGAGAGAAAAAGAGATATGACGACAATGACGATGGGAGCGAGCAAAAAGTTGAAATACGTATACTCACGTATATTTTCACACGGGGAGGCTCGCGCGAGGACGTGACCGCGTGGACAAATTGTGCATTTAACTCCGAGAAAAAGACGTATTTCGAGTGAAACTTTTTTTTTTTTTTTTTTTTTCGGCTTGGCAAACCACGAGATTGCAGACGTGATTTCGAAAAAAAAAAAAAAAAAAAAAAAAATTCTCTTTCCCCTCGGCACATCATCGAATGTGCGGTGGGCAATTTTGGCACTTTGGCGGCGCATCATTGCAGGCAAAAATAGCTCGCTAGAAATTTACGATGAAGCGATAACCAAATCTAGGGCTACAATTGCAGCAACAATTGTTTTTTCCGGAATCGCAAAGGATGCAATAAAGATTTTTTTTTTTTTTTTTTTCGTTCAAAGCATCAAAGAGCAAATGGAGCGCGAGCCGAGCAAACAAGGCGCTCGGTAATTGTGCCCGCGATACAGATCCATGTATAAATAAGAGGCTGGCTCATCTCGGCCGAGTTGCCGGAGTCAAGGTACTCGCGGGGCAGTTGTTGAATGTGCATAAGGTATACATAACATCCACACATGTAAGGGAGGGAGGCGCTGCGCGAGAGTGCTTTCTTGGCCTTTCGGAGGACACGACTTTGACCCAGATGCGTTACTTACTGCAACTCTCGTGTGTTTTATATATGTGTGTATATACATATATATATATAGAGAGAGAGAAAGAACAAAAAAAGCGCTTGCTGTGTTATAAGGACTGCACGCAATAGGCGAGAACACGCACGGGCCAAATGTTTTGTTATTTGGTCGTCACAGTACAATATCAAAAAATTATCTAGTGCGGCTCGTTTCAGCGGTTTAATGTATGTGCGTACGAAGTAGCTCAAATAATCCATGGGTAAATTATTTTTCTTTCAAATGTATGTACTTGATTTTAATTTAAAACGAGAGAAGAACAGTGAACGGAAAAAATTGAGGTTGAACATAAATGATTGGATCAAAAAATTGTTGTAATTTCAACTTTTAAATATATGTATATTTGAATGTTTGTCTTTACAGTTACTTAAAATATATATGTGTATGTATACGATTTACAACGAGTTGCTAATAATTCTATAACGTATAATATTATGAAAACGTCAATATATATATTATGATCTCTGCGACTAGTGCACACGATGACTAGAAATCGATTCTGTTGATAAGTACAGATATCTAAGTAACTACATAAGGTAATTTGTACTTTAGGTTTTACATCATTCCCGAGTAAGCACATACAATTTACATTTAACACATTTATTTCTTCTTCGACGATTCAACCGTTGCCTTGAACTGAACTTTTAACATTTTGTTCATATTATTTCGTATGGACACTTTTATACCGACTATTATCGTCATCCACTATTGCTAACACTTTTCTTTCGCCAATAAAATCTTATTATAATTGTGTTTTTATTCGTAATTGATTGAATGACTAGTTTAATGCTGTTTACGAACATGTTGAGGACAATAGTACAGAAAAAGATGGAATCAATTGTCAAATGTGTATATGAGAAATTAGACTCGTTTTTTTTACCTTGATTCTCTTAAAAAGGTCTTTCTCAACAATTCTTAATCAATCCAGACATTGTATTTATAAATTTTCTTGAGGAAAAGCATGTTCATCTCTAACGTTTATGTTTTTCGAGTTGATAAAATTATGGAAACGGAGAAATGCGATCTAAACAATTTTCACTACCACGAACCAGTATAAAAAAAAAAAAAAACTTTTCTGTGAATCATTATTTTAGATCTTGCTTTTAATTTGGTAACAACTCTGGGGCGAGAGGGCCAGATACATATAAAAATTACCACACGTTTGCACGTCACATGAAAAAAAAAAAAAAATCTCGAGTACTGTAGTGAGAACTATTATTTATTACATTTATAATGTTGTTGGGTTGTTATTACACCTTTTGTAAATTTACATGAGCTATTGGCGCTATCGTTGTTCGAATTCAAAAAAATTATTTTTTCTAGTGGTTTTAGCTTTTTTTTGTTTTCTCAATTTTCAGAATTTTCTAATCGAAAAGCATAACTTTAAAAATAAAAATGAATAACATATTCCTTTTATCTTACGTTAGAAAATGTGGGAGAAAATATTTTAAATCAATACTTACAATTTTATTACAGAAAATTTGTTCAAACAATGTCTGTCCGGCTTGCTAATAAGAAATTGAAACTTTTATAATTAAACACATTTGAGAGAATCGTAAAAAAAAAAATTTTTTTTTTATGTTTTTTGCTACTCTATGATTCATCCAACTAGGCTAAATATTTTTGTTTGAAATTTGACATGTTTGTACCAACTCTAATTTTTGTAAAAAATGTAAATTCACACCTTTAGACGAAAGCTGATTCTTAAAGATACATCATAAAATAATACTTAAAAAACAAGCAGTGCAGATTTTAGTTTCGTAATAATAAGGCCATGTTATAGTTAATCTCAACTAAAAATTTTTTAAACTTTTAACTATAGATAGATTTGTTTGAGTTGCATGTGTATAGACACATGCATGCTAACATAAATTTTGTCATTCCATAAGACAGTTTAAAAATATAAAGATTTACGTCTTAGGCATGATTATCACGTGCTTATGGTGAGTATATACTGACGAGATGCTATCACAGTCTAATTTGACTAGAAGTATTTAACTTTACTATTTGCAATTCCACAATTTTCATTTACTGCAGTGGGAATCGAATTTTCAGTAGCAAGCACACATTCAAGAGTTGACTTTACTCTTGTTAATGGAAATTTTGTGAGAAAAAAGTTCGCACAAATGCAAAAAATCTTATAAACTAAAGGAATAAATATTAATTGATGGCACGTTGCCCAGAGTCTGTAGTTTTGTCCTTGGAATGGATCCAAAACAGCGGGACACAACATATGGCTTAAATTAACTTGTGTAAGCTTAAAAAAACCACATTGTGTGATGTGACATATATATAAAAATACTAGGACTAACGAATTACATATAATTTATAAAAACTTAACTTTGTTCAACTTACCATTCCAAATATCTGAAGTATCCAGAAATGATACGCTAAGCTAATCGAATACCCAAATATCGCCCAGCTCATATCGCACAAAGGTTCAATGTTATAAGCACCTGTCAAGTAAACATTTAATGAGTAATTTTAGTGCAGAATTTTTTTTTTTTAATTTCGTTACAAAATTTGATAGCTTACCTCCCAGCCTTATCAGGTAATATGGTATCAGAGCCATTAATCCATGCTGAATGTAATAAACAGCTTTGTCTGCAAACATCTACAACCCAAGATGGCAAATATAACATCATTAAAAAAAAAATTTATTTGGAAAAGGAAATAAATGTACTCACTGGTCTACATTCAGTTTCTGGAAATACAAATGCTAAAACTGGTCCATTTAAACTTGATACAACTAATCTGAATACCGCTGTAATCATGGGACTACTAGGTTCTGCAGCAAGTAAGTATATCTACAACGAAAAAACGGTTTGATTAGCCACTATTTTATGTTTGGGTAGGCAAACAAAGAATTGAGCTTTGTGTACCTCGATAATTGTAAAAATATGGCAGGGGTTTAGTATGTACACAAATGTCTTTCCAGATAGCTTAAAACCAATTTCCATCCCAAAAACCAGGCATGTAACTGTAAGTAAAATGACTTTACCCGGTCTTGCTTGCTGCACATATGGCACTGACTTTGGCAATGTTATCCTCTTTAAGCTCCACACAAGTAAAAAAATAATATACACCGATATAAATAAAGTTTCCGTGATTCTTCTTGTGACTGTAAGATAACTGGCACATTCTGGCCCAACATTTCTTGGAATAGATGCATTCACTCCTATGTAGGCCCACTCAAACATGGTAAGTTATTTTTTCTTTTTTCTTAATGACCTGTAAAAACAAAAAAAAATAAAAATCAATAAGCTGCGATTTCTTTTTTTTTTTTTTTTTTTTCCTTTAAAAAAAAAAAAAAAAAAAACCCAAAAAAAAAAAAAAAAAAAACTGGGTTTTTTTTTTTTTTTTTTTTACACTGTAATAACAAAAAAATCATCAAAAGTGGACACTTTTTAACAACATATACTCAAGCTTTTGCCTGATGTTTTCGTGTACTTAGATAAGTAGGTGCATGTTTCCAAAATATGAATGGTTGAAAAATCAATATATCACTGGAGCACAAGTCATAATTAAGTTAACTTCAAACAAAACAAATTTAAAATTCTTATTCAACAAAGGTTTTGTCAGCAACCCACCTATTACTAATGAAAAATATATAGGTGACCGATCGATTACACTAATTAATTTATACCTTGGCTTATTATCCCCCCCTTAAAGAGGTTACAAAACTTCAGCCTTTAAAGAACATTAACTACTGGAGGATTACTTGTCATGAAAAGAGTAAAATGAAAACAGTTGTAGAACTTATTCGTAATTGTTGCTTAGAGCGAGAAAAAACGATTACCTTAACTTAAGGAATTAAATTTTTCCATTTGGCAAAACTACCCCCTGTGCTCTATGACGCACATTGACTCGCTATATAGATATACTGGCGACTGTGTGGCTTTGACAGTTCGCACTTCACTCTGTTTACGTATATGCATTATTATGTGTGTGTGTGTATTATTGTGCTAGCAACTCAGCAGCTAATAAAGGTGTTTTTCACAAATATCTACTACATCTACAGCTGGGAACTTTGTTGATTGCAAAATTACATAAACTATTATATTGATGACTGATTAGATATCTAATAAATACAATATATTTTATCATTAGTTTATTTTATACTTCATGGGTTGAAATATCAGGCTTTTTCTTTTCCTGAACTATCGATTGATATTTATACTGACCGAGCAATGAAGAAAATCTTAAATTAAAAACTTAAAAATTAACTTTTTTTTTTTTGATAATTGATAAGATAACAGTAGTTGGAATAACTTGATAAGTCTTAAAAACTTTATTGAAGCATTTAAGTTTTATGCTTCTTTAAATATACAATTTTATTTTTCAAAATTTCTCTTAATGTTACAAAAAAATGTTTTTTTTTCCAAAATTTGTTTACCTATTTTTTATATATATATATTTTATATTTGTATACCTATTTTTTTACTAAAAATCAAACAAAAAATTTCTCATTGGGGAGATCTGTAATGTTCTGCAAAAAGAAAATATAAAGATGTAGCGTTGACAAACGAAAAGTGATGCTCGTTATAAGAATGTTAATAGTGCAAAAATTTACTTTCAACAAGGTAATTAAGACTGAAAATAAGATCAACCTACGTACAGAATAATACAAAATTTTATTAATTTCAATTACAAATCAATACGTAATAAACAATTTAGCATTAACAAATGACGCTTTCTTTATCTTAACAAAATAAATTAATTATTTGTTACAATTTAACTGTTGTAACTTATTAACAAAAATTGAAGTATAACATATAATTCTGGAAATAGATTTCATTTAAGTTCATCGCAACATACGGAAATTTATGACTTGCGTCAATGGGCTCGAATGCCGTATATTTATAAGTTGTATTGAAACTGAACAAAACGTTTATAATGGACAACAAAGTTGCTTTGGATAAAAAAATTTATACCAAGAACATTTCGTAGTAATACTTATTACATACTGAGATAGCCTCGAGCTTGGCTACGCTTACGGCTAATTAAATATGCAACCAGCACAATAACCACTAACCCTGCAAGTACACAACCCACGGCGATCGGCACCACGTCGGACGTTTCAAATGCACAATCCTCAGCTAAATTACAAAATTTTTTAAATATTAGATAAATTCTATGGTCGTTTACAAAATATTAAAAAAGTGTGTTATATAGCAACTCAACTTACCAAAACCAAAACTGGATTTACCATCATCTTTAAATGCTTGGAATTGGAAATCTGTAACTTTTACCTCTCCATAAAGTAAGGTATTGTTTTCTGGCTTGGTCAAATTAAATTTTAATAGCTTAACACATCGATAAGAATGTCCGAGAGTCGTATTAAAGTGTTCAATAGGATGGATAAGATTCAAAGAAGCATCTACAATTTGAGAAACGATTGTAGTAAAAAATTTGTATGTGTATAAAAGCAGTATACATTTGATTAGAAGAAATACATACTAAGGGCGGATAATTCACTTGCATCTATGGAAACATTAATACTACCAAGAGTATAAGTTTTCGACATTTCATCTTTCTTAAACAAAAAGCTGACAAAGTTTACTTGGGTTGCATTACTTGCTTTCCACGACAGTGTAATTGTTTCATTACTTTTTTTAAAGTCACCAGTTACCATGGTAGAATTATCCGCTGGGATATTAATTTTTTTCTGTATAGTCTGAAAAGAACACGGATATTTTGTAAATAATTACAAATAAAATTTTGCATGAAATAACATACCTGCTGATTACTCGTATTGAAGGCTAATTCTATCTGTGCAGCCAATCGCAAAACCATAACGGCATCTGTATTATTAATTGACCATTTTCCAATTTTTGGTTCCGGCACAGGAGGAGCTGGAGTTGGTGCACTCGTTGTGGGAACGGTAGATGTAGTGACTGGGAGCTCAGTAGTAGTAGTATTAGGAGTTAACTTGGATATTCCTGAATCTATTGGAGATACTGAGGTTGAAGGTACAACTGGTTTGTCGTCAGAAGCATACACCACTAGAAATAGTAAAATCATGTACAATGAACTTTTTTTACTGTATGGTAAATTATTAATAATACTTTACTAGATATAACTTTGTAATTATTTCGATTTAAAAACAAAAACAAGCTTACACATTAGAAAAAGTTTGATACATTTGTGTAAATGACTGTGTAATAAACCCTAAAGAATTTTTTTTCCACATATTTATTTTGAAAACATCTTTAATTGCTATTGTTTCTTTAAATTTACAGTCTGGGAATGCGTGGACACTAATATAATATGAAACAAAAAATTATCTGCCTTTGTGTGTAAAATAAACAGTTATCTAGCAACACTGGTATAAAGCATAAAGCTTGTAAATCTATCCTTATACTGATATAATAAGTCAGTGACGCTCAACTCAAGTTTTTAAGTGGAATTTTATGTCTTATCAGCATTAGTCATAACAATTTGAATCATAAGATTGATATTAAATTATATATTAATATGTAGACTTTATAATAAATTATGAAAAACACAGCGAATGATTAAAAGCATTACAGTGAAGTATGTAAAAATTATTAGTAATTAATTACTATTACATTATAGGCGAAATTTCCATTGTAATGTATTAATATGCAACTATGGGATCGAAAAATACCTTAGAAAAGGTACTGAATTTTTTTTGCATTTACAAAACAAGTACCATTTTCACAAGAAAGCGCAACGGTTTGTAACGCAAATATCTACGAAATAAGTTTTCTATTTTATGTTAGAGAATACATCAGTAGATGCTTCATAGGTACAAGCTAAAAGTTGAAAAGACGTACACGTATTTTCATGCGTATTCGCGGCGACATAGCAGTCGGACGGTCAAAGAAGCGACAAAGTCAACCGAAGCTTTGGCTCTTATATTATCGGCGATGTTTTGGTTCTCTTATATACATTTTCATGACTCAACAACAAGACCAACAAAGCTGTGGCGAGAAAGCAAGAGAGCTCGCAGTGGATATTTTTCTTGTCAATTTACACTTGAACGACACACTATATTATAACTGTATACAAACACACCACAGTGTGGTTTGACTTTCAAAGCAAGTAAGTATAACTTGAAAGATGTTTTAGCAAAAATAGGTAGGCATGCAAGGTCTAGGCATGCCATAATACGCATTTCATCGGCTCTACGTAACGTACGCATAAGTGAATATATGTATACACAACAAAGAGTAGCTGTTACATACTGCGTATTTACTGCATACGTATGTGCATCACGGAAAAATGAAAAAAATTAAAGAAAAAAAAAAAGCCCAACCATTCTCAACAGTTGGGAAAAAATACTACGCAAACGGAAAATCTCGAAGCTAAGGGAATTATTAGCGTAGACGTCGCTTTTTGCGAACCGAAACGAGAAGCGGCTCGAGGATGGCGAGGAGACGGTCTTAACCTAATTAAGATGCATAGGAAGGAGAGGACGTTAATATTGTAAGCATCGGGTTACCGACTCACCTGAGGCCAAGACCAAGCTGCAGCAAAAAACCAAACCGATGTTTGCCCGCATCTTGACAAATTATGGGGGGTCGACTACTGTTTTTCTCCTCAAAACTAACTCGCTTCGTTAACTCGGTGCTCTCTGCTCTGACTAGATCGTTGACTCTTTATAATATAGTTTATTTAATCTTTGATTCCGAGACCTTGAAGAATTTCGTGCAAAGTTCGGAGTTCAAGTACTTGAACCGCTGGACCCCTGTGTGTGTGGTCGTCTCTCTTGAGGGAATATAGCAGAATAATGCCGATGTTCGACCGCAGCGACGTTCACGGCAGTTTGTTGAACTTTCCCCTCTCTCGTGGGAGGCGCGAATATTTGTAATATTGCAAAAACAATTTTACATTCACTTTTACTTTCGGCGATTAAAGAAGCTGTAAACCAGTTCAGATTTTAATACGGAGTTTCTGGAAAAAAAAAAGTCTCAAACTTTTGATACTAAACGTCGTACGATATTTCTGTATGAGTACTTGGAAAAAAGGCCTACCACGTGGGATTTTCGTGAAAATCGAAGTAACTTTGTTATTCCCGGAAAAATTTCCACGTCATAATGATGGTGAATATGTGTAGGTATCCAAGCGCGACATTGTTGTCCAAAACCTCAATTTTCACGCGCAGCAGGTAACAATATTTAAAATTAACAAATTTTGCATCTGCGTATTTTATTATTGATAAAAATAATATTGAATCCCCATTTTAATTAATTTACAACTATGAAGTAGTGATTCATGTGCTTCAAAGTGATGTTTTGAGTAAAAGATTCTGTACACTTCACACACTTGTTCGTGTTAAACTAAGTTGGAAGAAAAGACTTTGAAAGTCTGCTCCTCGTTTGGTGCTAAACAAAAAATTCACGCGAAGCGAGGGCCACGGGTACTACAAGGGTTATTTAACTTCTTCCATATGGATTGCCGCATTTACAACACTCTCTTCCGTCTTTGCTGATGATTCGCGGCCCATCTGTCGATTCACTCGTTGAAGTGAAGGTAAACAAGCCATAAAAGTTGCCGATGTCTGCGGCCACAACAAAATTTAAGATAATCTTGGAATGACAACAATTTTCTAATAGAATCGTACTGTGAAAAATTTTGCATAATGTTAATTAAAAAGTGAAAAAAAAAACCAAAAGCAAATTATTGATTATATTGACGTAATTGTAAATAGTCGAATTTTGTGTATGATAAAACCAAAAAGTTTAGGTACCTACCATCATTTAAAAAAAATTGTTTGTACTCATTTTATATAATGCTCTCACATTAATTACATCTTTGTGAATAAATTGCTTTTTCCTATTTCGAGACGTTTTTCATTACATTTGGACATTCACTGCTCCCTCGGTAGGAAAAATATAGTGTTTGCTACACAAGTTTAGTGACATCTAACCGGGAATACCGTACGGATCCTCGGGCCGCAAAATAGCCCTGATAACGAGTTGTGTAGTATTTTCGCCGATGTTTTACAATGTCTTCATATTGAAAAAATAAATGAATTTTCTGTAAATTTTTTTTAACTTAATTCTCGTTGCTGATTCGGACGATGCCCGTAGGTTTATATATACATGTATGTATAAATATATATATATTATTCATCATTGCTTTACAAGCGTAATGAGCTCAAAGTTTGTACTTAAATGTGCTCCTTATATAGAGTTTATTTAAAATACACCGTAATATCAAATGGAATCCAGATGCGTTAAAGTCAAATGAAATAATAAATCATACGGACTGTGAGTTTAAATATTTATACTAAATTTGTTTTAAAACAAAAAAAAAAACAAGCATATATTGAAACACTCTTTAGTATGCAACATCAAAAGGTCGAAGTCTTCACAGTAAAGATAAAACCTCTGAATTCGGGGTAAAACGGTACTCAATCTGGATCATTGCAACGTAAAACCTCAACTGATTAGATTGTTTTGGAATGATTTTTTTTTTTTTTTTTTTTTTTTTTTTTTTTTTTTTTTTTTTTTTTT